ATTTAGTCAGCGTACAGTAAATAGTCGTCTGATATTCAACAAAGAGTCGTCGGATCTCAGCTCGATATTTGTTGAAACGTCAAACAAAATGGCGGTCGTGCGATGCAATTTTGAAGGAAAACAAGCTCTCAGTGGACTGTAAAGCTGCTTTGAAATTTCAACTGCAATATTCCAGTCTAATTCATAATTATTCAATGAATTTTCTATTTACAACTTTACACACATTGCCTCGGTATTATAATCTCGTTTATGTAATGTTTTGGCATTAAACTGGCTAAGAAAGGGACTCTTCTTATTTTGCGATGACCACCAGACACGTTGTAATTTGCGACGTGTATTAAGCCGTTTTCAAAGAAGCTACGATGCGTTCAACACATTGCAACTTTTGTGAAATGGATCATACGACGCGTCGCGAGTTGCGACATATTACACATCGTAACTCGAGTTGCGACGCGTCGCAGCGCGTCGTGAAATCGGGTGCTGGACAGTTATTGAATGACAGTCTATAGCATCCTGTAAAATCATGGCACCTGGTGTGCTGTCATTTTCAAGAAAAGTGGTATTTTTGTATCAGCGTTGCGTTGGAAAAAAAACTGGCTCTTTTCAAATACTGCTCCCAATTTATCATATTTACATGTAGTTGGTCCGCATTTTCTTTGCAATCGATTACACACCTGTGAATGGGTACAAGCCGGCTAGACTGATTCCCTGACCTTACAATTCCCCGAAGTCTATAAATTGCTCTGTTTCATCTTAACCAGTTCGCGCCGGAGTCCTTGTAATACACGAAAAAGTTTTGAGGTATTTGGCACCGATGACAGATAAATATGCTGGGAGCGAGGCCGGAAATATCTGTCAGCGACCCGCTCGCAGCGAGCGAGGCCGGAAATATGAGTGTGCTGCCCGAGGGTGATGGCTTCAACTGCCTGGCTTGAGGTCGACATGGTCGAGTGAAAAGTAATCCCGCGCCTCGTTCCGTTCTTGTCAAAATAATCCCGGCATAAATGGGTTCAGTGGGGCCAGGGAACCAGACTAAAAGAACATGAGTGGTTTTCTTGGTGTTTCCCGCATCTACGAACCCAAAACTTCACGCAAGTCAGTGTTACTGAAAATTTGACAATTTTACGAAAATGACAGAACCAAAAGTTTTCAGAATTTGGCATCGGAAAGTTTGCAAAATATTAGCAAAAATATTATAAGGCTACATGTATATGCCAGTTTTAAAGAAAATCCATATTGGTGTTTTCATACATGATGTACATGTGCATGCACATGTATGGCCATCTTGTACAAGCACAAACAGGTACGTGTACAAGTAAGTGTACATGTACACACTACAAGTACATTGTACACGTACGTGTACTTCTCTGTGTGATTGCAGGGTGTCATTTGCATCATTTCAGCTGAAGAGTGAAGAGTGTGCGCCAAGTGAAGCCACCTGAGTACCAACGCATGATTGATTTCTCCAATGCCATGTGCATGCTTGCATGCATACCGTACTGCTGGAAACAGCACTATATGAATTTATTTAATCTGCGGTGTATACATTTTCTGATAGTTTTCGCATTAGATCAACACTTACTCAGTGCATATATGGTTTCGTACATGTATAATTTGTGTTTTTAAAAGGGCCCATACAATGTAATTTTTAAAATTTTATCCTTGAAAATGCACCTTTGTGTCCGATTTGACCTTATTTTCAATTTTCGTTTTGCCACTTTGAAGGGTATTTTGGTGCGGTTTTTAGTTTTTAATGCTAATGCAAATTTCCATGTTCATGAGCGAAACTGCGATGACATCCCGGGCAGAAACCTCAATGTTACCATGGTTACAGCTCTTTCAGCACAAAAAGTTGCTAGAATTGTAGATATTTCGCGAGAACAATGATACCCCGTGTCAAGGTCAGGCCACCCGAATTCGGCCAATGTGTTCCTAAAAGAAATTCATCGCACGGACCCTTTAAGGCATTATTAATATTTATTCAAAAGGTAAAATATAGGCCTCCATGTTACACTATGGCACAGGTTAAATTGCAGTTTTGAAATGATGCAATTTTGGTTTACTGTTTCAATGGAACTATAAGTTTCGGTTGCAATGTACACACTAATTGTTAAGAATGCACACAAGGCTATCAATGCACTATAAGGAACAGAGACGCATCTTCTTGAATTCAAGGCACCGGTACATGTACATGTACATTGTACTACAGTCATGTACATGTACAGAATGCATGTACTTGCATGGGCCTTATTCATGAGATGGCCATTTTTGTCGAGTTCCCTCATTAATTGTTACATGTAACTGTTGAATGGGACTATTTATGCAGGCACAATGCAGCCTTATTTTACTGTCATTTTTATTTTAAATATGGCTTTAAAAATTAGGAATGTTTAATTACAAATTTTAAATCATTCGCTGAGGCAGACTGGAATTGATTATAAATTAAGTTGCTTTCAATTCTCTTTGCAAGTTCAAAAAAATAAGATTTTACCTCAATTTCAATTCAATATGGCCGACTCCTGAGTCCTGAATAAGGCCCATAGAAGATCACGGAAGCTGCAGCCAGAGTTCAAGCCAAAACTCAACCCACTCTAAGATATTGGGATGAAACCGATCAATCACTGACTGGATAAAGTTTCCACACAATACGAATCCCTGTGGTGCTTCTGTTGGACAAGCTGTAAGATGAGCGAAACCACATACATGTACTGCATGTGAACTGGACAGTTTTCAAGACAACATGGAACACGGGCTGCGCTAGTGAACCAAACCAAAACAAAAATTGACGGATGTGTGACGTTGAACAACAAGTCCATTTCCTTCACACACACAAAAATTCATAATTTTGCAAAAATCTTTTAATTTGAAGTCGATTTTACTGAACACATAAATTTCATGCCTACAGTGTATAGGTACATATTATGTATGTACCTAGGCACATATTCAAACATCTGTGTGCATGTACATGTATGTGATGCCATCAAGCTAAATGAGTCGTTTGTCGACCCTGGTCAATTTTTGTTTTACAGATTTGAAACGAGCACAATCTCAGCATTACTGCTGTGAAAACCGCATGCTGATACCATCTTTAGTTAAAAAATTATGGAGGTCGGAATGCTAAGAGATGTGATGAAGTGATGTGATGAAGTGGCCCTATTTTGGCCTGTTTCCAAATGAAAGTTCCCGACAAACGACTCATTTAGCTTGATCACATCACATATTGTAATTTGTACATCGTTCACGTACTGTAGGCCCTACAATTGTACAATATGTTTAACTGTACTGTACACATTTTGTACACGTATACAAATTTTGTACATGTGTGCACATACATCATGCAAGCCAAGGAGCAAAACCTGCATATGTGCAAGTACTACCATGACTGCATACATGTACATGTACATGTACAAAACAATGATACACATACATGTACACCAACATGTACATGTACATACACACTAAGCAAACAGAGCGGAAAAACAAACAGTATAAAAACAGCACAGATTATTGAACTCAAATCTGCGGTTGCTATGAATGCATCCAATATCAACACAGCCTATCCCACACTTTGGTTGGACCACAAATCAAAGTCCTGCAGTTAGTGGCGACAGGTGCACGATGTCAGCCGATTGGTGCATGTAATATCAGATGAATACAACTCGTGTTCTGTTACATACTATGTAGGACAGAAAAAAAATTATGCCAAGGAAATATTGTTGTACAATATACTGTACAGTATGTTATAGATTCTTTAGGCATGGATGTACCGGAACATGAAATGTAATCTTTGCACATTCTCGGCAGTAAATGTTTAAAAGTATAAATGAGAAGTGGGTCACTAAAAGACACTTGATGAGAAACAGCCCATTCCAGATGAAATTTCGCTCACATTTCTATCATGTAGGGATGCGCAAACCGGTTCAGAATGCCAGTGATGTTTCCTACACCACAGATCAAACATAACATACGAGCTGCAGTTCCTACACCCAATCCGTTACTTTTTACTTTTCATATGACCAGTTCAGTGCTCAGTGAAAAAAAAAACATGTTAGATGTTGCCAAACTGATTTGCGAGTTGGTTTTGTGTTATCGGAGAATGTCAAGTGCTGATGCAATATGCAATCATCCGATGCATCGCAAAGTTACAGACAGTGTATAATGTACACACGATACATCAGTTTGAGATGGGACAACTATACGTGTGCGTTTGTTTATGGTGTAAATCGAGGACACACACGTGCAACATCATCAGTGAATCGAGGACAGGAACCAAATCGAGGACGACCTTGATTAGAAAATGTGTACAAAACCAATGAGAGCTGTTGCGAAAAAGTTACAGTACAAACAAAGGAAAAGGGAAGAGGAACAAAAGAAAATTCTCGATTTACACCACAAACAAATGTGGGTGTACTGTACATGTACATGTTTGTCATTTCTCGGTAGTGCTGGAAGTGAGCCCTCAGGATTGGTTTAGGTTTGGTTCAGGATTGGTTTAGGTTTGGTTCAGGTTCGGTTCGGAAATTTTACCCGAACTTTGGTTCGATTCGGGTTCAGCAGCAAATGAGAACGTAAAAATGAGTTGCTGCAGGAGTAATATCTGTTAATTGTCTAGGCATGCATAATAAACCTTTTTAGGAACCCTTTGTAGGACCCAGTTCCGTGCCAGAATAAATGGTCCCGTGTGTTGTGTGATGCACGTTAAAGAACCCAGTAACACTTATCCCTAAGAGAAGGTGTTTGCCCCGGTGTTTCTGGCAGTGGCTGCAATATGCGCCGCAGCACCTTGTAAAGCCTTATAAGGTTCTACATAATGGGTCTCATATTTCTCATAAACTTCATTTACCTGTCTTTAACAATAGACATAATTTCAAGCACTTTGAGTACCTAATTGTTGGTAGATACGTGCGCTATATAAAACTCCCGTATTATTATTTATTATAAATTGCAAGTGTAGGGTTAAAAGTAAGGAGTTGCCGCTGCACAATGTTCTCAAAGGATACTGATGCGCCATCCTTGCATGCAGGAGGAGCCCACTTTGAACATGTGGTTCTCACATGCCGAGGTCTCCTTGGCTGTCACGGGCTCGGAGAGTGTCTGCCCCATCCCAACTATCTGTCAAAATAAACAAAGAAAGGATCAGAAATTATAAATGTCATCTGGCCTTGTACTATGATAAAATATTTCCTGTAATAGGATATTGGAGTTAATTCTTCTTTTCATGGATTTAGGGGTTTAAACCTCCCTCCCCTACCTTCCAAAGAAATCGGTAGAAAAGGGAAATACGGAAAACCTTTTTAATGGACCTGGAAGTTAACCTGATTTTAACCTAACCTTCCCAAATCTACCCCCTCTTCACTTTGGGGATTTTGGTAGACAAGCAATGAGTACCAAGTCCATCGAAATCCACCTAACGTAGTGGTGGTCTTGTGGTGGATTTCAGCAGATTTGGTCCCATATTGTGTGAAGCAGGGTCAGTGATGGGTTTTGGCAGACTTGGTCCATAAGTAAAAGACACTAGGGAATTAGAGTTAATGTAAAGTTCACAGTACACATTTGGTACGTGTACATGTATGTACACCACGATATGGTATTTTGCATCATGACCACCCCCCCCCCCCCCAAAAAAAAACTCCCCCAAAACACAGTGTTTTTCAATTTTTAATGACATAAGTGTGAAGTGAAAAACGAGGAAATCAGCTACTCCGAGGAAAAGTTGCATGCCTGCCCTATCCAATGATGTCCAGAGTCCACTCCCTACCACTTTTCATAATCTTTCACAGCCAGATAATTGTTTCCCTGTAAACCCTCCCTCCCTCCGATGAAAACATTTTCTGTTTTTTCTTGCTGTACTGCAAAAGATGAAAGCATTTAAACTGTACTTACATGTACATACATGTACCAAGTGCATAAAATGAAATTAAAGTCAGACATCAGACATTTGCTGACCATGCACTGTATTCTTTTTGACAAATTCTGTATTGCATTGGGTTCTATGCACATGTGTACAGGTCCATGTACAAGTTGTATGTACATGTACAATGTATGTATGCATCTGAAATGCAGATTTCTTGGGCCTATCATTTCACCATTTGCAGTGCATGATGAGGACTCCGCTCAAGAGTACATGTACATGCACACCTACATTGTATGCATGTGTTTTCTGCTATGCACATACATGTATATTGTGCAATTTCACATACGTACATGTACAACATGCATGCAGCCTTTAACGGCCCGGCCCCAGTAATATAATCAGTACACGTACCGGCACGTACATGTTTCCTACAAGAGAAACTAATACGAGGTCAGAAATCTTTTCAAATTCTTCGTTATTGTGGTATTGTTCAGTGTCACTGAACCACTGTCAATGAATATACCCAGTCTTAACTGGTACCCAATATATTTGATGGTATTCTCAATATAAATTTGTCTAAAGAATAGTCCTATTCATATGTGATCTGTGTGCATACCGGTACTGTGTTGCGTCAACTTAATATCCGTGTAGAAAAAAAGTTTTTCTGTTTGTAAAGAAAAGAATCACACCCATTTGAATGTAAACCCTCTATGCGTGACCTGGCAGGACAAACATCAGTAATTTAGGTAAGTATGTTTTCATGCATGTAATACCTTTGTTAATTTGAAAAGCAAACCCCGCTGTACAGGAGGCTGAGGAAAAGTTGGGCATGAAAGTTATTGTGTGCAGGAAAAACTCTAAATAGGATATACAAATGTAACTCTTAACACATGTGCGGTATGCATTGAGATCCAATCAACTGAGTTTGAACTAAAGATCTTGAGAACCAAACAGTGTACATGTACATGCACATCATGTACATGTATTGTACTTTGATTGAAGATTAAATGCAGAAACAATTGGATGAATATATGTACACTAATCGAGAAAGTACATAGTGCACTGACCCTAGATGTACAGTGCATGTTCATGTATGCTGCAGAATTTTAAAAATTCAGTACTGTAGGACCCAGTACAAAATTCACATGGAATCGTGTACATGTACCGTACTTTGATTGAAGATTAAATGCAGAGACAACTTGATGAACATGTACCGGTATGTAAAATAATCCAATATGTACAAAGTGCACTGACCCTAGATGTACAGTACCGTACATGTTCATGTACTTACAATGTATGTATGTTTTTGCAGGATTTTAAAAAAATCAGTACTGTAGGACCCAGTACAAGTTACTTTAATTGGAACTTCCATGTCTTTTTTTTTTTTTAACCCTAGGCATTCTTGCTAGGATGCAACCTCAATACTGCAAAATCCTCCAACTGCCTCCATGTACATTTTTGTAAAAATTATATGTATACAGCCTCAATCCTCCAAAATCATCTGACTTTGAATGTGGTCCTTGGAGGGGTGACCACTGTCTCAATCCTGCAAAATCCTCCGGTAATCACTGTCACTGGCAGAGCCAGTGACATCCTGGAGCAGTGCGGAGGATTTCAAGTATAATATAGGCCTAAATTTACGCACAGCTGAGCAAAAATAACACAAGGTCTGGGCTATTAAAGACACAGTGCATCCTCCAAAATCAGCCAGACATTTTTGCCATATCCTGAATCCTGCAAAATCCTCCCTTTTGCAAAGAGGATTTTGGAAGGAGTTAACCCTAACTCCCTAGGGGGTATGTAAAATTGTATTAAAAATGGAGGATTCAAGTCTGTTAAGGATGGAGTCGGGTATTATGGATTTTAATTCATTACTCAATTACTTTTTTTTTTTAATTCTTCAATGTTTCCTTTGTTTTACACTTTTGCTTTCCACCACTTGCCATTTTCACAGACGCCTGACTGATGCTGATGTTACAATCTCAAGTCACTATGGCAACATCATCTGACCTTTTCCCCACGGAAGATCTTCCATCTACCATGCTTTCCACTGGACAGACGATGCTCGTAGATGGTCGCAGCTTTCGTTTTGAGGACTACACCCAACGAGTGATCATCGCCACCGTCACCAGTCTGGTCACCGTTTGCGGTATCTTCGGCAACTGTTTGACCATTCTAGCAGTCGTTCTGTCCAGGAAACTCCAGACCAAGACCAACGTGTTTGTGACCAACCTTGCAGTGGCTGACTTGGTGACGTGCCTGAGTGCGCCTTTCACGGTCGTTGCGCTACTCAGTAAAGATGGCTGGCCGCTGCCCGAGCTCGTTTGCTCCCTGGCGGCCGCCATTGGGTATACCTGCCTGTCGTGTAGCACCATTACGCTGGCCGCTATCGCCATTAACCGATACATAATCATCACTAAGCCCATGCGGACCTTCCAGGCTGTCTATACGCCACGCAAGATAGCTGTGATGCTGGTTCTGATATGGGCGTATCCTATCCTCGTCTGTTGTATTCCCTTGTTTGGCCTTGGCCAGTGGGGCTACTCGGACAAATACAAGACCTGCACCCAAGACACGACGCACGAAACCTCCGACTACTTCAGTCTCGTGGGGTCAGTGCTGATCTTTCCAATTCCCTTGGTGGTTCTATTCGTCTGTTACTACAAGATCTACCGGCACGTCACCGGGCACGCCAAGAAAATGCAGCAGATGGAGGTGGAGCTGACGACAACGGAGAGCGTGTCTGGCCAAAACGTGGGTGGCAGCACCCACGAGCTTAGGAAGAGGAGCAGCAGTATGGCCAGCAGCATCAACCGAAGACAGGTGCAGATCACCAAGAATCTCTTCATGGTGGTGTGTGCCTTCGTGGCCTGCCTGGCACCCTTCGCCATCGCCCTGGTCATCCCGCCCAGCGACCCCGTCATCCCCTGGACGGGGATGTTCATCATCTTCAACAGCATGGTCAACCCTCTCATCTACGGGTTCAAGCATCCCCACTTCAAGGAAGTCTTCCGTCGGATGCTGCGGTGCCAGTGCCACATGATCTCCGAGCCTTCCGGTATCTTGAGGAAGATGCGATCGACAGTGCACTGAAATGACGTCTTGGAAGGTTCAAGGTTTGGGATGCACAATGCAGTGATGCTGACACTAGTTTAAGACTGCCACACGTGTGCACATCTCAAAAGGAGAACAGTGAAGGACAAGTACAAATGTACGTGTACACAAAAAAATTAACCTACAATGTAATACTACCAAACAATACGAAGCAAATGACTACAGGAGTGTGTTCAAAACGGAATCAACACCACTGAACACTAACAAAATATAGTTTTCATAGTTCATGCAAGTGGAATATAAGTTAACCTACAGCTTTATTAAATTACCAGAGCGCTGACTTGATGTACAAAGTGATGCGTGCTTTGTGCATCCATGTTTGTGCACAAACCTATGGAAAGCTCAAAATTGTGTACGGCTTTTGTACGGCTATTTGCACATCTGCGTCTGTATTCTATAAAGGGGGAATTTTCGAAGCCGATGCGCCCAAAACCGAAACACACAGTAACCAAAATCAGTAAATGAGCGTTTCATTTTGCTCTGCGCAAACAACGCAAACAGGTGCGCGTATCCACTGCAGATAATTTTTGCCTTGGCGTTATTTAAAGGGAATATACATCATTTGCTTTTGCTGTAATTTTCAGAAATGGATGGAATTGGGGGGTTGGAAATATATAGCAAATATAGTTACACTGACTTTTATGAGGTTTTGGGTTCGAAAATGCTTTAAAAACCAAGAAAAACAATCATTTTCCTGTAGTCTGGTTCCCTGACTCCATATAAGAAGAAACAGAGCAGTTTACATACATTGGGGAATTGTAAGGTCAGGGAACCAGTCTAGCTGGCTCGTACCCGTTCATAGGTTTGTAATCGATTGCAAACAAGTGCGATGGTCAATTGGGGCCAGTATTTGAAAAAAAAGCCAGTTGTTTCCAACGCTGATCGGCCGATCAGCGTTGGAAATTGATACAAAAATACCACTTTTCTTGAAAATGACCGTATACCAGGTGCCATGATTTTACAGGATGCTTTACACTGTCATTCACTAACAGTCCAGCAAGGTATTTCAAAATGATTTGGTAGTTTTATTTTTTGATGTTTGCAAATGTTGTATTTTCCCTTTAACTGTCATGACGTGCTCAAGTTGTTTGCGTGTACGCGTTGCATTTAGACTACACTACGCAAAAGACTACGCAAAATTCACTCCACCTAACTGCATTATGTTCTTCAAACATGCACATGAATTCAAAATGTCTACGCCCAGGACGGCTTTAAAAGGAAAATACAACATTTGCAAACATAAAAAAAATAAAACTACCAAATCATTTTGAAATACCTTGCTGGACTGTTAGTGAATGACAGTGTAAAGCATCCTGTAAAATCATGGCCTCTGGTATACTGTCATTTTCAAGAAAAGTGGTATTTTAGTATGAATTTCCAACGCTGATCGGCCGATCAGCGTTGGAAAAAACTGGCTGTTTTTTCAAATACTGACCCCAGTTGACCATCGCACTTGTTTGCAATCGATTACACACCTATGAACGGGTACAAGCCAGCTAGACTGGTTCCCTGACCTTACAATTCCCCAATATATGTAAACTGCTCTGTTTCTTTTTAAATGGAGTCAGGGAACCAGACTACAGGAAAATGATTGTTTTTCTTGGTTTTTATAGCATTTTCGAACCCAAAACCTCAAAAAAATAATTGGGCAATTCTTTGGTAACGGAATTACGGAATTTTGTCACTTTGTCAAGGATTATTCTTTCCCAAGAAAATATGTTCAATGCTAGGCAACTAATCTAAACATGGAAAGGGAGCCAAGACCCAGTAGAATTGATTGACCGCTAAAAAAAAAAAAATCCCACAAGATTACCCTTTTAGGGGCGGAGCTTAATATCGGTAACGGAATTACGGACGGAGGACAAGCATATTTGAGTTCTCGCATAAATTAATAAAAAAACCCTCTGAAGTTTTGAAATTTTAAAATTGGACACAACCTGTTATTTGTAGAGTTCAGGGGTGTTGTTAACTACAATGCAGAACAAAGTTGAAAAAATAATCACTCTTTTCATAATTTGCATTTTAATCACGGTAACGGAATTACGCCTGGGCGGTAACGGAATTACGCCATAGGTTTACATGTAATAGGTAAATGCAATACATTAACATTGAATTCAACATAAACTCATCACAATACAAATTTTAGAAGTATGTAAAATGCCACAAGGGGAAAGCTCAGTGAAAATAAGCAGATCAAAATGTAAATGTAGGCCTAAACATGTCTGGGCTTTATTTTTTAGGTCAAAGGTCAATGTCAAATGAAAGCAGTCTGGTGATGGCTGCATTGCCTGTTAGCAATGTATATTTATTTTTTAACGAAAATCAAATTTTACTATGAACAATTGTATTATCGTATTTCACTAGTTTATCGTGGAAAATACAATAAAACTGTACTGGTTGGCATCTCTGAGCAAGGGAAGATGTTAAGTTATGCCAAGTAGAAGTACAAGTACAGTCTGGTACTCAACTTTCATATACCTGTTGTGGAATATATTTTCTCTGGGTACCAGACAACGGCTTTGGCAACATATTTAAAGGGAATGTACATCATTGGCTTTTGCTGTAATTTTCAGAAATGAACTATTTGAGGGGTTAGTATACATGTAATAGATCAAATATTGTTACACTGACATGTTTGAAGTTTTGCGTTCGAAAATGCTGGAAAACCAAGAAAAACAAAACTGTTCAAGTAGTCTGGTTCCTTGACTCCACTAAAGGTAAAATGGATCAATTTATAGATGCTGGAAAAGTGGAAGGTAAGGGAACCAGACTAGCTGGCCTGCACCCGTTCATGAACATGTAACAAATAGGTGTAGCAAACAAAATTTGGACTGGAAAGAGTGTAAAGTTGGAGCAGTAGTTGAAAAATAGTTAGGTTTTTCCAACGGTGGTCGGCCGACCACTGTTGGAAATGTATACAAAAATATCATTTTTTTGAAAATTACTTCACACCAGGTGCCATAATTTTACAGGATGCTTTAGACTGTCATTTACCAACATCCTAGTAAGGTATTTCGTAAAATCTTGGTAGTTTTATTTTCTGATGTTTGCAAATGTTGTATATTCCCTTTAAGCATCCAAACAATTAGCATTTTTTAAATAGTAAAAAAGAAATAGTAAAAGTAAAAAATATCAATGGAACACCTGATTATTTTTAATTGTATAATAGCAATTAAAGAGGGAAATGATTTAACAAGTAATTTAGTATTTAAAGTTATTGTCCAAGGTTTACATGCAAATCTCCTATTTAATATGTCATGTATATATATGTACATAATCTGGGGGAAGTGTGCATACTTTGTGCATGCGTAATTCCGTTACCGTAATTCCGTTACCGTTTCGTAATTCCGTTACCACTTGGAAAAATGCCAAGAAATTACTATTTTAAAGTTTTTATTTTTCATTTATGTTTATAGTAGGGTCTTTTCTCAACATAAATGATTTGTAGAAAAAAAACAAGAAAATTTGTGAAATAAGTAACTTTTGCCATTTTTTCGGTAACGGAATTACGTGCTAATTTTGACATTTTTAAATGAAGGCCTACACTATATATATATATATATTTAGATTTTTAGATTTTTTTTTTATGACTCTGAGTAATGTTAGTAACTTGTAACATCATAAAATAAATCAAATCTTTTCCCTATAATTCAGAAAGTAATACATACACAAAATTTTATTTTTTTACCAAATCTGAACGTTTTTAATCATAAAATGCAAAAATCACTGTTTTTACCAGAAATATGTATTTTTTTTTAATTTCGTTTTTTGACCTGAATTCCCCATTTAATTGAGGTCTGAAAAAAGTACAAAAAAGGTTTAATATGTAAATATTTATTTTTGACATTTTTTGCTCTCCCATGGAGAATTGCCCAATTGTAACTTTATTTGCTATATATTTCCAACCCCCCGATTCTATCCATTTCTGAAAATTACAGCAAAAGCAAATGATGTATATTCCCTTTAAAGTACATGTACATGTATCTCTGCACGTAAGAACGCGGAGTTAGCGCTCTAGTAATTTAATAAACATGTAGCTCTATGAATGCAACCCAAATACATCCCACTTACATACATGCAGCTTTGTTCGGTTTGGACTGGTAGTTCCTTTAAAGTTGTTTTTTTTAAAGCAATTTGGTTGTAAACAGAAACGGTCATTCCCTATGGGATGATCAGCAAAAAGGCCGACACGAGTTTATGTGTACTTTGTCCATTGTACGTACATTTATACTGTATACAAAAAAGAGAGAGTACATGTACATGTATGCACAATTCACTTTTTGTAAACCCAGTATACAAGCAGGAATCACAATGTACCAGTACGTGAGATTACGTTTGCTAATATAATAGATCCAACTTTCCGTACAATTTCCAACGTTGCATTAGGCATTAGCACATGTTATCAAAGTGTAGACTTAAGTTTTCTGCAATGGAGAACACATTTTGGAGATCACGTTTACAAATTACAGTTTCCCTGGACCAAATTCTTCCACGCAGGCTGTACAGTCTAGGCTTACGAACCTTGACTTTAAAAATAAAAACATGTGCCCGCGTATATGACACAAATGGTAATTGGAAATCTAAGATTGGCACTGGCTGATCGAGTTTCATAAACATATCGCGTCGATCACAACAGTGTGGAGTTCAATTTTGCTTAAATACGCATTTGGGTGAATAACGATCAGTTGTAATTTTTAATCAAATACCGTATATTCTACGCTTAACCCTCCTAGATGCAAACATGCATTCTTTGCAAAGTTGTCCCTTCAGTCAAAATCGATCATTTGACTGTTTTTAACAGTTAAGAGCTTTGATCTCAGCCTACATAAAGCAGGATTGACTGGCTGTGACTGTTTATGCTTTGACTGCAGCTGATGATAAGCCAGCTGTGCCTACCAGTTGCCTGCTTTTGTCTGCTGACTGAATTTGACTAGTCAAAGTGATTGCTTGAAATATGAAGTGGCTGTTGGTGACTAGCCTGTGTTACAAGTATAGGGAAGTGGATGTTTAAATGGAGGAGGGTCAACCTCGTCCCCAGTGCTTACTTTATTTCCAACCGTGTTTCCAATAGTAAACCCTGGATAGGAAACTTTCTTCCTGTATCCTGATTGGATACCGCAATTGGCTAGTAATGGATTTTTATCGTGTACTTGGTGCTATATTATTCACAACGTGCAGTACGTGTTTTCGCGGTCATTCGTCCACGCCTTCTCGAAAATACTAATTTCCTTTCCAATTTGCTCATATTAATATGAAATATGATACTGCATGTTGTCTCGATAAGATCGTAACAGTTTGATTT